TCAATGGCTACCAACAAAATCAAGGCTGAAATCATGTCCCATGTTCCCTTTTCATTGTTGTTCCAGTGATACGCTATTATCCCAAGTTCACAGTTCCAGACTTTATACCCGAACATGTGTATCTAGAAATGAGTTGGAAACGTCCTCATTTCTCATTGACATTCCATGTGGCGCTGGCGGGTAACGGGTTATACTGCAGAGGTGCAAATCAAGCACAGGTGCTTTGTTAAGATGAGAAATGAACAGAAACCAGAACATTAGCTCACCTGCTTATTCGACTTGGCAAAATTGATCCCAACACCCTGTACCATGGGCCCCGTGAAGCCCACTGGGCATGCATCACATCGGAAGCCAGGAGCCAAGTTCACGCAGCGCACGCCTGGGTAGCAAGGATGGTATTTGCACTGGAGATGGAGGAAAAAAAGGAAAGTCTTTAGCCACATGGAGAAAATGCTTCTTTAGCTATTTGCACAAACTTGTTTATTCATTTAACGATTTCTGGTGGTAAAACATGATAAAAGGAAATCAACCCAACTTCATGGTTACCAATGAATTTCTGACTCACACAACTGGGTGGGGTTGCATTTCAGGGGGCTTTGCTTTATTATAGAATAATGGCGCATCTGAATTGAAAGGTTCTGTTTTTGTTTGTCTGTTTGTTTTAGAGGTTTTTGCCTTAGGATACAGTCACTAAAGAGAGAGAGAAACAGAGACAGTGAGAGGGAAAATGAGAAACCACCCCCAGGGGGATGGGCATACCACAATTCTTTTTCCTCCATTCTCCTCCCAGGATCTTGGACATGCATACACATGTACCCGATGTGAGTTTCAAGTTGCCAGGTCCAGAACTCAAACCATGGTCAGCCATGTGGGAGTTCAGCGACATAATCATTTTACCATATACTGGTCCCAGAGTTGGAACGGTTTTTTGTTGTTGTTTTAGAATTATTTATTTTAACTTTATTTTATTGATTTATTTTCATTTGATCAAAGAGGAACAGAGTGAGAGAGAGAGAGGAAAAGTCAGAAAGCAAGCTGCCAGGTCTGGGACTTGAACTGTAGTCAGCCATGTGGGAGTCCAACACCCTTAACCACCCCACCCGCCAGCTCCTGGGAGGTTTTATTTATTTATTTTTTTTGAGAGAGATTTTTTGCTATAGGGTGCGTGTGCTTGCTGGAGAGAGAGAGACAGAAAGAGAGAAATCACCCCCCAGAGGTTGGCCATGCCACAATCCCTTCTCCATTCTCCTTTTGGGATCTTGGGCACACACGCACATGCATTCAGAGTGAGTTTTAAGCTGCCAGGTCCGGGACTCATTGACTACATAGGAGTCCAGCAACACAACCATCATGCCCTCTGAGTTGGAAGGTTTTTTTTTTTTTTTTTTTAGAGAGGTTTTTGCTATAGGGCGTGTGTGCTCACCAGTCAGACAGAGAGAGACATAGAGACAGAAAGCGAGAAATCACCCCCCAGAGGGGATGGTCAGGCCACAATCCCTTCTCCTCCATTCTCCTCTCGGGATCTTGGACATGCACGCACACGCGCCCGGTGTGAGTTTTAAGCCACCGGGTCCAGGACACGAAGCGCGGTCGACTACATGGGAGTCCAGCGACATAGCCATTACGCTAACTGCTGGTTCCCTGAGTTGGAAGGTTTTTAATGTTAACTGTCTGCCTCCTACTGTAAGCTCCCTGATATTCTAGCTCAGAATCTCTGCAAAAGCACAGCGTCCTTAGACCACTTGCGACTGGCTGCTAGGTAACTCTAAGACCTGAGGAAGACAAAGCCAGGCAGGTGGTTCTTCAGCAAGGTGTGATCACAGGGTCTGTGCCGCCTTCACACCTTGTCAAGTCCATGACTACTCCAAGGCTCTTGGAGTCTAGGAGACGGGTTCTGATCCTTTTTTTTTTTTTTTTTTACAAAACACTTCAACTAATGTAAAAAACATGATCACTTCCTGTCCTTTCAAAAGGAGGAAAATTCCAGCTCAGAGATAAAAACCAGATGCAGTTCTGCGAAACGTGTGCAGATGTTTCTCCAATTGAAGGATTACTAGAGACCGCATGGCTTACTACCGGGGGAGGTAATCAGCTGCCCGCTGCCTGGAGCCTGCAGGAGCCCTGGGTGTGGTGTGCCTCGCTTCTGCTTCCTGGCTGTGCCACCCCTCCACTTCTTTCAGCCTTCTTCTGGCTGGGATGAGGGGAAAGACACATGTGGGTGGCAGCCTTGCTACCGGCATGGACATTGCTTTAGGGTTGGACTGGTGACTGGCTGACCAAGGTCTTGAAACGGTCTCCTCTGGGGCTCTGTCAGCTAGTCAGCCCATTTTGGCTGGATGTGCTGTCTCTGGCTCCATCCCTGGGCACTTCTGGCTACTCGGGTATGAGGTTTCCATGACAGGTCTTGGTGTGACACTCCCTTCTGCTCCTCTCTTGTAGGACGCCTAAAGAAATCTGATGTAAACTCTGAAATGTACTGTTACCCGGGCCCTTCCCTCACATCTGTCAAAGTGCAGGAATAGCGAAACCCTAACTGCTGAAGGGGAATCACCAAGGCAGACACTGGTGTGGAAAGCAGCCCTCAGGGTGCTGCAGCAACACGGCAGAAGAGCTGGGAACGGGAGGAGAAACGATGAACACAGCCACGGTCACAGGCCATGCCTCACCAGTCTCGGGGGGTCCAAGAACCCATAAGGAGGTACTCATGGACCATGGAAGACCACGGGCCATCCTTCATCCTTGGCTTGGCTTCTTTTTCCCTCCGCCACAGGTACGGTAGACAGCCAGGGAACCCCTCCTACTCTAAGTGAACCCTTACCTCATCGACGTCAGAGCAGGTGATCCCGTTTCCTGTGTAGCCATCGGGGCAGGGGCCACACTGGAAGCCATCCCTGGTGTCAGTACATCGGACCCCTCGGAAGCACGAGCTGGAGTCACACCTGCGCGGGGGGCGTGTTGGGGGTGCTGGGGGTGCTGGAGGCACCACTGTGTTTGGGGTTGGAGACTGAAAACTGAGAGGACCTAGAGGAAAGCAATAATCCAGGGGCTTACTCACTCCTAAGAAAATATACTGGCTACAAAATGAGATTTGTTTTCCCGATGAACTTTTCTTCCTGTCCTTCTAACTCTGGGGCAAACCTTCAGAGTCTACAGTCAATGGCACCTCACCTCAGTCCCTCCTCGGTCAGGCTGCCCCCCTCTGACTCTGAAAGAGCCAGCTACCAGAAATGCACTTACCGCAAGCCTGGCATTCGGCTATGGTGTTACGCAAAAACGATGTTTCCTTGACCTTTAGAAATGGGAAGAAGGGCAGAGGAAAACACATTGAAAAGGAATATTTGATATAATCAGGAATGAAAGAATCCACGTGGAGCTATCCAGGAAACACTTTTACAGCAGTGCTCAAGTCGCCCTTGATGGCTTTCGCATTGCCTAAAATCCTGGTATGTTTATCCTAAGTGTGCCCCATTTCCAGAGTCCCTCGGCAGAGCCCTGGAGTGGCGGGTTGTGGGGCAGCTGAGGTCTGGCTCAGGGCCTGCCCCTCCCTGTGCAGGACTGCGGCTGCACCAGGTCCTATGAACAGCCATCCAGAGGAGTTAGGGCTCTTATTACCTGCTGTCTTAGGAGATCCTTCACCTCTCCCAGTAGCTGGTTGAGTTGTGTCATCTGACCCAAGAACTGCCGATTAAAATCCCCTGTCGAAATAGCAAAAAAAAAAAAAAGAAAGAAGCATTCAGTCTGGGACAATCATTTCTGAGTGACTCAAAACCAAATGATTCTCCAGGAATTATGACAAGATGACTCAAAAACCATAGGGTACCTGAGTTTAATTTGGGGTAATTTGTCTAATTCACTTGAAAAATAATGACAACGATACCTCTGGCTAGTTGGTGCAAATCTGTGAGAGTTATCCAAGTGAAAAGTATAGTGAAAATATACCAAGACGTTGCACAAGAGCCCAGTTTCTGTGGATCTACTCTGTCAGGCTGCTCTGGAGACAGTTTGCCTTTCAGTGAGGGGACCAGTCTACCCAGGGGCCTTGGAGTGTGCCCATGTCGACGAAGGTGTGTACACTGCCTGAGAGCCCGCACCTGTGCCTGTGGCGGCCAGCGGCTCGCTCTGCTGCAGGAAGCAGTCTTGCAGGCTGGCCACCTGGAACAGCGAGCCTCTTACCACGAGCTTCAGCTCCTCCAAGAAGTCCTGGAAGAAATCACATTGAAATCACATATTGCTGACACCGTTCAAGTCCCATCTGCTCGCACACTCACACGATTTTCATAACAGAGTGGCCCTGCATACTTGGAACCTGACACGTTACATAATTTTGCAGGGTCACATTTTTTTCTAAAGTGTGCCAGCCCGATCTTTTTGACTGAAGCGAATCTGGAAGTAGCCACTAATCTAGGAAAACGCTGGCATTCAACTTGGCTTGAGAGATTGCCAAGGCGGCTCAGATGAGGAGAGACTGTTTTCCTTCACAGTAAATGAGTATTTCCTGACAGGAGCCTCTCAAGAATTTTCTGAAATTTGTTTATCAAGTTTAAACTAATAAATAAGATATTGATCTCAATTTTAAATACTATATATTGGGTTGTCAGGAAAGTCATGACTCATTTTTGCATAGAATACTTATATTTATAAAATATATATAAAATTCTACTCTTATCCAGTTTCCTCTTGGGACTTTGGGTACACACACACACACACACAAACACACACACATTTGGTGTGACTTCCAAGCCATTGGGTCTGGGGCTCCAACCATGCAGTCAGCCACGTGGGATCCAGTGTCTTTACCTCCATGTCACCTGCTGGCCCTAAACACTACTATTTTAGAATGTCTTGGCTCCAGGTTTTAACAAAGTCACTGATTTCCTTGGCTATGAGAAATAGTATATTCAATGATCATTAGGTAGTTGGCACCATATCTTTATATTAGTGGCTGATATTAATCATTCATGGTTAGTCAGAAAGTCAATTTCCTTGCCTCTTTATCTCATAACTTATACTCCCACTCGTTTTTATTATATCTATATATGACAGAAAAAGTTCGTGTTAACTGCCAGTGTAAAGTCATTATCCTTGCTCTAGAAATGAGCACACTGAGCATTTTCAGAGAAATCTTACTTCTCAGTTTAGCTAAGTTAAGATGTATGTAATATGGGCCAGTCAGCAGGTCGTATCATGGGTAAGGGACTGGACTCCCACATGGCCAATGGCAGTTTGTGTCTTGGACCTGGCTCCTTGAAAATTACTCCAGGTATGTGTGCATGTGTTCCCAAAATCTCAGGAAGAGAATGGAGAAGAAGGGACTATGGTGTGCCCATCCCCTGGGGGGGGGTGATTTCTTACTTTCCCCCTTACTGTCTCTCTCCTCTCCAGTGGGCACACATGCCCTATGTTGAAAAAAACCTTAAAAAAAAAAGATGCATGCAACACAGGCTATGAACAGATATTGTGTTGAGCGTCAGACTAAGCTCCATGGAGGCAGGACCATGAGTAGTTTTGCCCACCACGCTGTTCTTAAAGTCTAGAATAATGTGCCTACTTGTGATTGAGGGAATGAAAGGTGTCTATGAAGACTGAACTGCTACGGTCCCTGCTGACAGTCCAGGGAGGTAGGGCATTTGAGAAAATGCTAGTGAGTATAGTTTCTGATGACCTCGTCATGGCTGAGTCCTGTCCTTTAGAAATCAATTTACTGGGGAATGGCAGGTAGTATGGTGGTTAAGGTGCTGGACTCCCACATGGTCAACCATGGTTCAAGTGCTGGACCTGGAGGCTTGCTTTCTTATTTTCCCTCTCTCTTTCTCTCTCCCTCTCTTTCTCTCTGGTCAAATTAAAAAAAATAAATAATAAATAAAAATTAAATAAGTAATTTAAAAAATAAATTTA